CCCCAAAACCCCAAAACCCCAAAACCCCAAAACCCCAGGAGTAATTATTAATATAGATTCGTAAGTTTGGAAAAGAAAATGGAGTCGAAGAGTTGTATGAAGCGAAGTAAGTGCAGGAGAGATGGGGTTAAGGGGATTGGGGGTTGGGAAGGGTATATGAAATTGTTGGAAAATTTTGGAGTGGGATGGTGGTTTATTATTTAAGCCTAGGTTTCGTATCTTTTCATTAGCTACCTTGAGCTTAAACAAGTTCTTTAATATGAAGTAGAAAATGCTACAAGTCTTAATAAAAAATATTCTTTCTTCTCATTTTTTGTGAGTATTCCAACCCATATTTTCAATTTTTCTAACCTTAAAATTTTAGCTGAACAATTGATATTAAAGAGAGACATCATGTCCAACATAGAAATCTGTTCTTCTGCTCATTCCAGCATTAGATTCCCAAAGGGGTTCTCGAAAAATAAAGGAACTCTATTTCTCATAGGAGGGGATTTATCAAGCTTTATTTTTATGAAGAAGATGGCTCCAATTTTGCTCCCTGATCTAGATGAATTTAGAGTCAGCTGAGTTATCAACGGAAAGGCAAGAATTGACTCTCTGTTAGCAACATGTTGACCTAAATAAGGTCAATGATATGGAGCTCATCTGCTCTGATGGCTTGATGAAGATTCAGTACTACTTTCCTCAGGTTATCAGAATCAGTCCAAAGATCCAGTGTAAGATGATCTTTGATGGCTTTGAAATTAATGAGAAGTGACTTTGAAAGTTCTTTGCTGCTTTTAGGCATATAAATTCTTTAGTGTTCACCAATAGCAAGCTTAATGTCCCAAAAATCCCTGATTTTTCATCTGCATTGAATAATACCAAGCTTGAGAGGCTGACTATTAATAAATAATTGGAGGTTATCACTTGTAAGTGCCTGGAAAGATGAGCCTGATGAATTGAAAAATCTAATTATAGGGCTAAGCAAATCCTCAGATTTTAAGAAAAGTTTCCTCTTGTTTAATTTAGCCTCTATATCAATAGAAGAACAATATATAAGAAGTATTCTTGATGAAAATGATTTTAAACACGTTGAACTTTGGATCTAACCAAAGTCTAATTAAAATAGAAAATATATTTGAATTTCAACAGTGTATCTTCCTTCTGGGGTTTTGGGGTTTTGGGGTTTTGGGGG